GTTTACTTATAGACTAATGTAACGAAGGCAGATGGCTGTGAAAAAAAAGCTATGAATATTGTAATGATTATCTATATCGATCTTGAAGAAATCAACCAGTAACAAAATTAGAACAGATTTTATCATTTATATAAAATTTTTAATAAGAACGTTTATAACTGAATAATCTATATCTTTGTTAATTAATTTTACATTCTGTCTAAGAGTATAATTTTATATTTCATGAAGAATTGCGAGCTGCATTATTCCGCGCGGGTCTAGAATGTCTCAAACCCGCAACTACTTACATCGATAAAGTGACCCCGAGTTAACGTCGTTAATAATTGATTACCTCTGATCGAGTGGCGCGACCACAAGCAGATTCTCCATCGTGGTGCTGCTGAGATTCCTCGGCGGGGCGAATCTTCGCGAGGTCTGCTGCACCCTCCGCATTCTCTCGTCTCTCTCCGGGGTCGTGTACGGGCCGGCGCGAGTTACATTCGAGGTAGAAAAATTGGAAGACTGTGTAATCGCGGAATGGGCCAAGGTCGACGGATCGGTGGGGGGTGACGTGGGCGGCGAGTCGTCTCTCGGTAGGAAGAGGTCGATATCCTCCGTGTGGATCATCAGGATGACGGAATTCTGGATGTGCGTTTGCCACGCGGCGTTCAGCTCGATCAGAACGCGGTTTGTCATCTCGTCGAGTAGCGGCAGACAAAGCACCATAACTGGCAAAAAAAAAGAAAGGATCAAGTTCGCGTGACTGTACAAAGAGGAATATGAAATGAAGGTAAACGAATAAGGTCAAAGAGAGATCTGAATAGACGATTTTAGATCATAATTGAATTATTTATTATTTGATGTTATTATTTATTTATTGGATTTTAAGTGATTTGTAATTTAGTAATCATAGATAAAGAGAAGATAAGGTAAATCTATTTTTACAATCTTTTTTGTAAGAAGATCCTTATAAATCGACATGTAGAAGTCTTCTCTATCTATCATTCAGAGTGACGTTATTCAACATGTAATATTATTTTAGAAATTGTATTCAAAGCAATATCTATCGTAGTTTATTCACGTTAATAAACCAAACTTAATTTATTAGTAAGTTTGTTCTCTACATGCTTAGTCCTGGCATTAAGGGATTAGATAGTAACTGCTATATATATATATCTCTTAGAAATGATCGCCAAAATATATGTTTAATTGACACGAGAAACGAGGAAGTCTTCAAAGTAAATAGTAAAATTCATCCTTTTTGCTATAGTTTTACGTCATCCATCATATAGCCCCTAGGTATGATTCGCAATATTCTGTACTATATGAATGTATGTGCACGAATAAATAGAAGAGTAAAAGGACGAACGGAAAAAGGGCACAGAGAAAAGAAGGATAAATCGTAGAAAATGATGTATTAGCTAACGACCAGGGAATGACCAATCGAGTGGAGATTGAATTTATAGCCGTATATATATCTCTATAACCTTTTCAGAAGAACTTTAAAGCCGGAGATTTTAATTAAAATATTATAGAAAATGCTGAAGATACAGCACTACGTAAGACTAATTAATATTAATTAGCTGCAGGAAAAAAAGAGAAACAAAGAGACGCCACCTTTCCGTCGTAGAATACAATCGTAAACTCTGAAATGTATGTATATTCCGACGACAAAACGGATTCTGGACGCAATAACTGAGTGGGCAAGACCCACTCGTACGTAGGAAAAGCCATTTCGTGTCCTTTACATTTGCGTAAACGCAGATTGCGCTTATCTCAGTGAAATGCGAAGCGAACCGTTCATTCATAAGGCTGAAATTAATTAAAACGAGCTTTGACTACGTCATATCTCATATTAAGATATACGTTTCGCTTGAGGCGAACCCTCCTGGAAAGTTCACGTCGTCGTCGTGCCATTACTCGATTCATTTGCAATCCCGAGTACACCGCCGGGCGTCGTAAATTGTTGTTAACTAACAAGTTAATCCCGCTTCTGCGGAGATGCTGAAACGCGCGGTTATTACGTGGCGATCGGTGCGATGCAAAAAATTTACAAAAAAATTGCGACGAAATTTCAATTTCTCGTAACGGTCCTCGGATGGCTCATATAAGCGTTCTCTCTTCTCTCATACATATAACAGCTGGAAGACCTGCAGATTGGCCGCACAGGTGGGTTTTATCGCCGCTAAACCTGGCTCAGCAGCCGAGCTAAGTCCCGCGACGTCTTTTATGTACGGCGAAACATTTAAAAAGACATTGTTAACTTCACGACCCTCCATAAACGCACACCACGTACTAGCGAGAGCAATCTTCTTGTCTATTTACTTCTACTCGCTGGAAATTGCGCTTGCTGAGCTATCTTAAGCCCCATATAAAGCGCATAAAAGATTTGTAAAGAGATTCAGAAATAGATTTCCACTTAGATTCCATTTCTCAAAGAGCATATAAACAGCAATAAACTCGCACCTGTCTATATTGCGACGGCTATGTTTATTTTATTTCAGTTAGTCTTGAGCAATATTTTTCAAGCGGATTAATTTACTCTGCAGAAATGTAATAAATCTGCATGTTTATTTTAACGACGGATTTTCCACCTCCTTTGACGATACTCGTCTCTCGGAAATTAAAATTTTGTTACTTCCCTGCAAAAAGATTGCTGCTTAATATTGAAAGACACTTTTCGATACTTCGACGTGTGTTAAGGAAGAAAGGAAAAAAATCGGCCCATAAATAGGATTAAATTGAGTTAAAGTCGAAGGGTTCCGAGACACCCTATGTAAATTTGCAACGACGGAACGTAATTAAAGGATTAAGTTCGCGAACACCATCTGGAATAGTTCAGAGCTGATGGCATCGCCATCAAACTGTGACTCGCGCGAGTCGTAGGGCATTAGAACTGTATAAACGTCCTCGATCACGAAGGGATTTCAGGACGAAAGGACGAGGGGGACGCGTGTACGCGCCATTCGTGTTCAGGACGAAGGCGCGCGTCGCCTCATGCCGTTTAATCCTCAATCCGATAGTTTCGGTAGTTACTCCAGTAGAGACAGAGAGACACACACACACACACGGAGACTTCGGAGCCGGGGGCTGTGAGTGCCGAGTAATACTCGCGAGTTTCTCGTATATAATGGGATTAATCGTGCATTACTTACCACGACGGGAAACGCTGTGCACGGACCTCAGAATCCTGCGGATCTGCTCGAGGGTGGCGCGATGGGGTAGAATCAGGTGGTACCGCAGGGCGACGCCGATACTTCGGAACGCATTGATCACAGCACGGTCCAGGCTGGACCACGGTTCGCGATCTACGGCATTAATCGTATCTCTCTAATGCTCATTAAAATTCAACGCGCGGGTCGCGCATCGCGTTTTAATGGACAGGTCGGACAGTTCGGTTCCGACTGTCCTCGGTTGTTATCGGTCATTATTGTCCCAGATCCTTTCGCATTGTTATTCGCGATTTAATCCCTAAACTCTGGCTCGACCGAACGAAATTGGGCTGTGACGTCAGGGGGCAAAAAGTCATACGTAATTTTCTCGTGCGGCGCACGTTGGAATAAATGAGCTTTTTTGCCTCTCGCATCGTTTGACGGAGCCGACTTGCAAAATACATTACGTAATTCTCAAGTTAAGTCGTGAATTAACAAAGACGTGAATTAACTAAGTTTTAATCAGCTGTCACAAAGTATCTATATTTTTGTTGGAAATGCAGAACATATTTAGATTAAATTTCACATCAGCATTTTTTTATAGGAGAGAAGCGAAAAGGGAACTGCCGTCATGTTTTGAACAAGTTACGGCGATTGATATGATTGTACTGACGAACCAAGAGCTCTAAGCATAACTTACTCGGTAGACACCAACTAATAGACATTAAAATATTATAATTTCCCACTCAACAATATAAGTATACTGTTTCATATAACAGTTTTATTATTGCGTAGGAAATTATAATATTGAGATATAATGCTACTGTTAATTGGTGTTTACTGAATACACATATTTGCAATATAAAAAAATTTATCTTTTACAAATTATATTTTTAAGAATATTGAAATAGTTTATATTTTTGTTATATTTATATCTTAAAAATCACTTATTTATTCTATTTTGTAAAATTTTAGTTTTGAAATAATTTAAATTGGATGGACAATGAAAAAATATTGTATGTTGATGATAAAAAAACATTAGAATAAAACAAAAATTGAAATAGGTAATATTTTTTATTTGTTATAGCTAATGCTATTTACTCAATAGAATTTATCTAGAGTAATTATACATATATACGTAAGTGTTTTTTGAGGACTTACCTATACTGATAACATCCGCGGACTTCCACTGCAAGTGCAGGAATATTTCCGCTACGGCATTAGCCATTGACGGTAATGACGGAGAGAGCCTAATGATCGAAGATAGATCCCTTTCCTTTAAATCTCTCTGGAACACAAGTTATCGATATTCACGATCTCAAATTTTAACGAGGCGCTACTCGAGACGTTTTATTTTCGGTTCGGGGTCTACGGTGCTTCTATTTGAAATCAATACTATCCGATGAACGAAATTGTTTTACGGAGAAATATTTGTAAAAATTTTTCAGGAGATTCATTTTTGTGCACATAACTTTTCCAAAGCAATAACAGATCTGCGTATGGTTTATTTGCGTTTTTTCATAGTAAAATAAAATCCAAAACATTTTTTATAGCATTCATATTCTGCAATGTTATCATTTTGAAACGATTTTTCGCTTCTTTTTCGTTATAAAAAACTGCTTCGGATAAAGGTTAAAAGTTAGGTTAAATATAACGGCATTGTGAAATTCAATTTCCTTTTAGGCAAGTCAAGGAATACCCGAAAGTGTTGGATTCGCTGAAACGATGACATAACTGTCGTCTTGGGGGGACGTGTGAAATATCTACGAGCGGGATAAAAAGCTTTTTCGCGGAGGCGGCGATTTGTTTCGCTCAAGCGAATTGTGCCGATGACAAAGTTCACGGATGAATCAAAGGAAATTTGACGAAGCTCTATATTTATTGCCTCCACTCAGGCACCTGACGGAGTATATACTGGCGAGTTTGCCGCTTGCATCGGAAATGTCCATAATTGGACGTGCACCAATTAGAAAACTAAATAACGGGAAATAACCATTTATCCGGTTCGATTCAACCGATGCTCGCAAGTCGGTTATTAAAATTAAAATTGCGCTTCTTCCCAGTAGAATCAATTTGCGTATACAGAGACCGAGGCGAAATTTACAGCCTCGCCAATTTCCAGTCGGGGATATTACGTTGTATATAATTATTTACGAGCGCACAAATTTTCATCATTTTAACTTTTGCTCGCCGGGAAGAAATGCAACGGGCTAAATAACGTCGCGCCGTATTTCACGGTTTGCTACAAACGCGCCCGGCAATAAACATACCGCGTGCATTTTGATATCTCCTTTCGTTTGCACGTCTGACGCGGCGTAGTCTTTATTATTTTACACTTTCATATTTATTATTCCATAGAAGAGCGCGAATATATTTATTTACTAATAACAACATATCCTATCAAGGTATGATATCGGCATCCCGAAAAACACGTGCCGGAATCTGCCGTAAAAAAATATTCGCATTGATTTAATTTAAACAAAGCGACACGTACATCAATATGTATCATAAATGTCACACTCGGAAAATTAATTTCTAAAATGTTTAAAATAGTTTTATTGATTGGTATAAAAAAATAATAACCAGTTAAAATATCCACGGAGAATGTTTTCAAGTGATACTAGTGATACAAGTCAACAACAGTCAGACATACCCGAGGAACGTAACGTTTAATTACTCCGACGTAAAATTCTAGATCTTTCTCTCTCCGCTATTTTTCTTCAAGAGAAAGAGCTGTAGTGTATAACAGCTTCGCTTTATATCGTGTATTTTCGCAAGACCCAGCTGTGTCTCTCGAGATACCGGGAAATGTACCTTAATTGCTGTTCGACAGCTCCGATAACTGTGTGTAAACTGCGAAGACCGTCCGCGGAGTAAACGATAACACTCACCAGCGGACAAGTCCAAGTTAGCAGCGGTTTATTCCCAAGATGCGCGAGTTTGGCGGCGACCTCGCAGATCGAGCTGTCGAGCGCGGCTATCACCGCCTTCGTCTTGCTCTCGCCGAGAGCGTGGATCAGCGCGCCGAGGCCCCCGGTTTCCGTCTCACACGTCTCTGGAAATTAATTAATCGGGCCATTTAGTTCCCATTTAGAGCGACGACGATCGGAGATTTCGGCGACCGGCCCGGGCGATCTTCCACTGTCTTCGACTACTTGTTACCACCCGAAGGACGTGTTACAGATTACAAGTCAGGTACAGTTACAGGATGGCGAGAGCGGATGTGATGCACTGATTTAATGGCGTAATTTTCAATGTTGGGTTGGCTATCGATTCCGATAAACTCGCTATCCTCCTCCATCCCGGGATGGAGACAGTCACCGATATCCTACTTACGCTCTCGTGCTCTTTGCTCGTTACAGCCGGCACTCAACAACGTCGAATCCCACGATTCTATTCAGACCCAGTCGATCGAGACGTACGTATACGTATCACTCCGCGCGCGAGAGATACGTGTACGCGACCGTTGGCGATCATTGGCGCAAGATACAACGGTGCAAACGCCGCAAACAATACGCTATTAGCCGCGCTTCCTGAATGCTGATCTCTCGCGGCCACTCTCGCGGGAGAATCCGGAGAATCGGGTTTGCGGCGGGGACTGCGGGGAGTCGCCTGAGTCGTTCTCGAGCTCGGCGTATCAACTTCGTGCCATGCGAATCGCATTATATTCCGGTCGCATCGTCGACGGTACACGGTACTCCAGTTTGCTACGTCGTTTCCGTGAGACGCGTTTGCCGTCTACAAACGGCAAACGCGTCGCGCTCTCTCGAGAACTGGACCCTTTCTCCAGAATCTCCAGCGGTTCTCGCCAGCCCGGCACTTACGTCGAACGTCGAACCGGCAATCGGCATAGCCGGCCGAGTTTCGATTTGAATACGTAATGGGATTATTGGACGTCGCGTGATTCATGGGCGTGTAAATTTAGGGCCGGCTTGATAACGTGTTACGGAAGTGCGCGAATGATTATATTACGCTCTATAATCTATGTATTTGCGAATATATGCGTAATACCATTACTCTCGACGGAGGGGGAGAAGCGAAACGTTACGTTAAAATTTAACATTGCCACCTCTGGCATGCAGCGAACGCATAAGCGCTTGCTCTGTATAATTATTATAATTAATTACTCGGGTGAGAGAAATAGCCCTCGAATTAATTAATGTATTCGAGATTACGATGTTGCGAGGTATGTTCCAGATTTATCGTCTTTCGCACATGTATAATCCCCCCTGTATAATTAATTATATACGCGTCATTAAATACCATCGGCCGCGCGCTTGTAAATTTTCAATGTCCGTTTTACACGTTCAGACAACATTTTCTAGTCGCGCGTACATCACGTGTATATCAACTGGTAATTACATAAAATATTCAAACTGTACTTTTCCAATATCGCGTATCTATCGCGTGTAAAATTTGCAGTACTCGCACGGCTGCCTCGCCGAATTATTGAATAAGTAGTATCATCGGATAAAGTATCCGGTACAAGTAGTATATATACATATATATATATATAATATATATACTCACCGGATCTCGGCATCACGCTGATCGAGTGCTCGCCGGCTAGATCGCGCTCCAAGTGATCCTGTATCTCGGTGACGTTGATCTCCCCGTCGCATCTCTCGCCCAGGAAGATTATCACGTCCGCGTCGGGCCGGGGCCGCACGTCACGCGCTGTCTCCGAGGGGTAGGTGGACGTGCACGAGATACCGGCTTCGACTGCGGGGGAGAAGCACCCGGATAGGATCGCGATCGGGAGCCACCACCAGAACCGGCGAAAACAGTTCCCGGCCATGGGCCCTTGGACCCTGCCGACCACGATGTCACTGCCACCGCGGCGGGGAACGGCGGGAAAACGCTCTGTTCCGTCGATTCACCCTCGCCTGCGGAATACGTAATAAACGTGACCTATTTCGACGTATGTAGGTACATAACAAGGCTAAATCTTTTTCGCATCGGGGACTCGAAAGATTCTTTCAAAGTTGCTTCATAATGGCATTGATTTCTGGCGCGATGTCTTTATTTTAGATCACGTTATAAGACACTTTGTAGCTGAGTTTTACTATTGATAATAAGGCCTGTTCGTTTCCGCTGCACTTCTGAACTAGTGCAACATAATGCAATAAGTTAGAATGAAACAAATACATTTTCTTTCATTCTAACTTATTGGCACTAGTTTAAAAGTGCAGCGAAAACGAATAGACCTAATATTATTAGATATGTTTTTATTTACACAAATGTACCTTTTCTAATCAATATATAATAATAAACTTCTCATGTATAATTAAAATATTAAATTTACAGTAACCGACCAATGTGTCAATTTATTGTTATTAGTTTCACTTTTTATTTTTTCAAGTCACATTTGACCTCGCAGAAACATTTTAGCGAAGCGAACCGTCCGCGGCATACGCGAGAAAATGCGTGAGGCGACTTGAAAGTAGATATCGCGAGCCAATGAAATCGGGACGACTTTGTTTGCCGCGGAATACGTGATCGTGTTTTTTTCCTTCCCTTTTAATGCCGCAAGAACAAGGAGCACCGTGGCGTAATTAGAGCTCTTTGAAATGCTGCAACTGAATCCAGCAACCAGGCGAGATTTTTCTAAACAACTCGCGCGTCCGCTCTCCTATCGCTTTGTGTGGGGAAGATCAGAGTTTGGTGATGAGATGAATACTAACGTGAAAAATTGCGAGCAAAGTTATATGAACTTCCGTAACTTTGCGAGCAACAGGCAAACGATGTCCCGTATAGTTGACGAAACATTATCTGTACAACAAAAACTTTGTAATATTTTTATATGCTCAAAATGACGAAAGAAAATATAAAAATGCATAGAATATATTTCAGACTCGCCGAACATTCCACTTTTCCTCTCGGTCTCGCCTACAATATTTCAATCAGCTTAGACTTTTAACAGATAAAAAAAGGTAGTAGATAAAAGCGTGTGTATAAAAGAGAAACTTTAGAACTTCTGTTTATAATTATATCATTTATCATACTTCATAGAGTATGAAAGCCCGAATTGTCGTTGTCGTTTGATGAATGTCAAAATAATTATTTTTAACTTATGCACGCCACGTAAAATTCATAATTCAACAAATATAATAGTTAAAACGCTGTCGGCGTAACAAAATTTATAAAGCTGACAAGGAAAAACCGCGGCACAATGTTGGTCGAAATTACCGAAGCGAAAAACAGCCGAAAAAGAGTCATTTCCTCTTTGTCATATACGTGCGCCCTTCGATCATTCTATCGGCTTTAAAACCTTTTTGGTATACGCGCGAAGTCGAACAACAGAGATGGTGCCCCGGTTTCATCGAAAACACACTGTTATAACGTTATCGCGCCGTAAAAAAAAAACCCTGTACACTAACAGTTTTTACAACGTTAGTACGCGATCAAAACTACACAGTGCAGGGTACACAGTTTTTACAGAGTTACTGGGAAAACAGAAATTGCATTCTAACTCTGTTTGCACAGCTATCCTTTTGATGATGATAACTGGATAACGGTTACCCCCTGACACACACACACACACACGCACACATGCGCGACAGAGCAGCCCACGTGTGAACTTACGATGCTTATCGGCTTAATTCCGTTTAGCGTGATTATCGAGCGCGGTTGATTGTTGGTTCGATTTCGCATGGGATTATCTCGATAATGAATAGGGCATATCCTGACGCGCATTCGTCTCCCTTAACGCTTTTGGGATAACGCTCCAGATTCCGCTTTGCGCGCGGCGGTAAGTAGATTTGCGCATAATTGCGTTTTCCATCGCTAGCTTTCTGTAACGTCATCACTACAAAATTGAATGCCGCTCGCGCGCACGTGACTTCTCTCTCCCCGTGGATTTCCAGGAAGAGAGGACATGAATTGGAAACAGAATTGTTTCGTCGGTTTGAAGTTTCCTGCGCCCGCGCGGTTCGTTGTTAATATTCGCGAGATCATTCACGACTTCGTCAATGCGTCAATTGATAATTTTATAACCACATATTTATAAAAAAACTCAACAAACATGTAATATCTTTTGTCTCAGATTGATTGATGTTGTAAGGTTGTACGTTAAGCAATAATACGTACGGGATTGAAACGGGAGCACAAAATACGTGATGTCGAGCTCTTTAATTAATTTAGGTCAATACGATATTGAACACATAATGATACGTTGCGTCAATGAGTTACAAATGTAATTCAGAATATAAATTGCAATAATCTTTTCAAAACAAATAACTGAAATAACAATACGCAATACATATGGTACAACGAATTTACATCGTAATAAATTCCGAAATGAATTTCTTGCGACACGAATCTCCGCGAAAAATTTTATGACGCTCGTCACGTCCGTATCTGTTATTGGCTATGATAATTACTATCGTTATTCCGCGTTGGACGAGAAGAAAAGATGTACTTTATCCACCGCGTCGGGATATTAAATTGGTTTCTCTCGGGCCGGATATCGATGGAGAACTCTCGCGGCGATGGAATGCGCGACGGCGGAAATAAATAGATGAATTTTTCTGATAGAAAGAATATCATTCTCCCGATTGTGTCCCTTCTATTAAAGGAACGTAAGCGTTTCTCGAGTCGCGTATTCCATGTATCTGAATCGACGTGGACTTTTGTCCCGGACCTCGGATGATCCGGGACAAGCTCTCCGGGACAAATCCACTTTGAGTCTGTCTATAAAAGTCTTCGCGAATACCTTAACTTTCGTATCACTCGCGATGCCGAGCGTACAGAGAATAATTCATTTTCACGCAATTCTCTCGCCGTGGAACGTGACACGCTGGAACACGATTGGAACATGGGAACACGTCTCAAAGGGTTCGTCTTTCACGGAGGTTGCAACCTACGACATCTGAGACGGTCCGGTGCCAGTTTATTACAGACATCAAGTATTGGTCTCGTTTTCTCGTTACGCGGACATTTATAATCGATTACGAGCTTGTTATGTCGGGAAAATTGCCGTGATGTAATTAACAAGACACGTAATGCCGAGTTATTTACCGTCGATGCACCCTGTAATGATTAAAGAAAATCGTCGCACTGTGATGCTCAAGATTCGTATTCTCTCTCTCTCTCTCTCTCTCTCTCTCTGTCTTTCTCTCCCCTTCTCATTAGCACGGTTTAAATGCCAATAACGGTAACGCGCTAATTAACGAGAGAAATTCGCTCTAACATCTATGGGGCACTTCGAGAGGATGATTTTCCTGTTTACACAGCCTGAACAAGTTTCGAGCGCGCGTCGAGAACCGTCATCGATAAATGCATTGAATCAGATGCATCGATCCCTGATGAATACCCGTAACGATTTCCTGCGAGCAGCTCGACGACACCCGGGAGACACGCGGGATTATCATAATTCAACATCCTAAATTGGAAACGTGCCGTAAAATGCACGGAAAAGATAGAAAGATATAGAAGACGTCAATTTTGAATAAAAATGGCGCGACGACCTCCTAAATTTTATGGCCGTACGTCAAAACATCGTCGCGATGTTACTTTACGATGATCAGAATCGAGAAGTAAGATCCTAAAACATTCCGGGGCCATTCACTGCAGGAATGATTATTTTCGTTTCAGCAGACTCATCGTCAAACTCATCTTTATTCCCTTGTATATTTGTCTCCATGAAAGTATTCGAGACGAGAGATATATTGTGTAGGTACATATACATAGATGTAATTGCGAATAACCGAATGACAGATTTTTAATTAAATAGTCCGATTTTTCTGGATAAAGCAATTATAAGAAAAAGCGTTAAAAATGTATTATCGTCTTAATTTAATCTTTCTCGATATAATATCTGCCGTGTGCATCGATACTTTACGTAATTCGATACGTCACTCATTATTTCATAATGACGCTAAATTGGAATCGCATTATATCATATGCGAGGTGATCGATTCTATTATATATATATATATATATATATATATATATATATATATATAGTTCACTCTATTTCTTCATTATGGAAGATTCTTAATATTGCATAAGCTAGAAGTCCACGTTCGCGATCTGATAATTCTGTTACTTCTTTCTGCATCTTTTTTACACCTTTTCATACAGATCAATATGTCGTTCGCGCTTATCATCAAATTTAGATTATTCTTCTATTGTGTTATGCTTTACGTGAAATTTAGCGCAATTACTTCTTATCGATTGCGTGTATTAAATTTATTTAATAAAATGTAAACTCGATAACATTTGTGATAATTTAATTTCTAATTTTATAATTAATTAAATTTTATAATTAAATATAATGTTTTATGTAAAAAGATGAAAAAATTTTCTTTTAAGTAAAAGTATGGCACTTCTTTAATAAGTTATGTTAATAAGCAATGTTACGTGTATGAAATAATAATGAGTAATTATATTAATAATATAATTAAATAATATTAAGTAAATAGATAATAATACAAATTAATTATTATCTTAAATTAATTACAATTTTAAACGTACACATTATTTCAGTTTATATTTCTCTATTACGTATATATGTTCTAATGTTCCGTAATTTTTCTTTTTCACATGTTTTTCTTTCCAACGAGGGGTTTTAATCTTTTAAGTTTATTTTTAGAAACATCGCTACTGCTTATACACACGGTCTTTACAAGAGAAATTCTTCAATTTATCAATAGTGCACCGTAATTTTGATCAAAGTTGTACGGCGTGGTAGTGTTCGCCTAAAGCAACGTTTGCACTACTCGATCACTTAATTCCTGTCGGATCGTAAATTGCGAAGACTGACGCGGTTAGGTTGACACATTGAATCCGATCCAATTCGCGTCAAATACAGAAAGAATGAGATCAACAGGTGATGAATCTGCTATGGCATAGAGCACGGTAAATTAGTGGACCTGAGGAATTTAACATCAGCTGAATTGTCGCGCGACTTCCCAACGATTCGGAAATAAATTGTTGCGGCATCAAGCGCGGTTTATTTAGCGTTGATGCAAAATTGTATTTTATAACGAATAAAATTTCTTACGTGTTTGTCTACGGAAGAATTTCGCACAAGAAAATGCCAGAGATAACCAAATGCAAGAATCTTAAAATATTGATCAAAATTTGCAACAAGTAATCTGATTGCTTTATTGTTAACGATTCTTTATTTTTACATGTAATCCGTGTATATACTTCTCATTTTAACATCATTACGTTTCCCGAGGTGTTGATAAACTTTATCCGTTTTTTTTTCTTTATACGCAGTGGCCTTTTCGAGAAGAAGCGTCTTTTAATCCATTAAGAAGTGGAAGATCAGTCCTGAATGTTGTCAAAGAGGCGAGGACAAACAAGGTTCGCCGATCCCAGTCGTTGCGGTTGCAAGTTGGAAAATCGGGTCAAATGTTGTACCTTAGTTCTGTGTATATAACTTTGGACTTGGTGTTGATATATCGCTTAAATAACACTGGACATTTAGGAGTTTCGGTATTATATCGGCCGCCTGTGGGAAACGATAAAATTTAACGATTAAATATATTTTTTTAACGCGCAGAAGTTACAATTTAAAAATTAAAAGATTTAAAAAATAGAAGTTAGAAACTTTTAACGTTAGAGTAGCGACGTGCTGAAAAATTAAGAATTGATATTGGTGCTTGTGTATATATACCGTTTGGAGTTTAGCTACCGTTAAAACTTTCTCGTAACTTTTTATATTTTCTTCGAGAAGTCTCAGCTTTGTGAGGTACTCCAGCATGCTCTCGTGAAAAATTCGTGTTTCGAAGTCGGCGGTGGATTTTATTTCGGAACAAAGCGCAAGTCCACATACCTGTAAAGCGCTATACACGCGACGGAACTCTCGATTCTTCGGGTTGACATCTCCGCACGTCACGCCTCTTTCTTAATAAAATGCTCCACCGCGCAGAGTGGTTAAAACGTTTCCTCTCAAAATGAATAGCGTGCAAACCACTTCCGCGCTTACACATTTTGTCGCACCGTCGCCGTCGCCGTCGCCGCGGGGAAAAACACCGCGTCACACCAGTTTTTAGCCCCCCTCCCGAGTCGAGTTTAATGCCGCGTTAGCGCGCTTCGCACGCGGAGATTGAACAAGAGATTCCGAAACATTGACCTAATTTATGGCAGCAACAGTTGCACCGTTATTTCCATCCGCGAAATTTTTTTTGTCCGTGGTCTTGCCGCGACATTCAATATTGTCAATTTGCGAGATTAAACAATTTCAGCGTTCCTCTATCATGGTTTGCGTCGCGTCCGCTGTCCGATAATCCGCAACACACGTTTTAATTTTCCACCATTATAGAGCTAATCCGACGGTGTTGACAGTTATGAAACTTTATTGGTCGAGCGTGTGGTGGATCGTCCAAAGTTCAAAACCAAATTCCATTCCAGCAGTTTATAGTGTCTAACGAATTAGAAATATTCTCGCGGTCACAGCGATCTTTTGAGCTCGTTGAACTTGCTCGGCGAATTTTGTATTCCCGACACTGTCGTTTACATCGTTTTTTCCACTCGTAAATTCGATTCTCTATCTCCGATACTCTTCCCTTGTTAGAAACGCTTCTGTTCACAGAACGTTCACGTTCACGTGCCGGGCGGTCGACCATTAAATTTTATATTTTACGATCGCGTCCACTTATACCACTCGTAAACCGAATTCCATTTCCGATATCTCCATTCCCGCAGAAAGATCGTTGCTCGCGCAATGTTCACATCGCAATCGCGGTATATCCGCTTCAAAGTTTCAAACGAGAGAGATAGATATATATATATAGAGAGAGAGAGAGTGAGTGAAGAATGGAGCGAGGCTAAGGCTCGATCTTAGCTCTCGGTTACTGCCAATCAGAGACAATAACACCCTGGCTCGTTTTAGCCAGGAATAGCATACATACCGGAGAGACGATATCGAGCGCACTATTTCCGACTACGTCTGTCCGTGATTCAGATATCGGTCTGGCGGAGCGGGACGGCCGATTCGACCTTGACTCTGATTGTCCGCACATTTTAACGCACGGCTATACATATGCATGAGATCCGCGCGTTTCTCCGTCCCGGAAGCGTCTATATATCGATCGCGCCGGAAACGATGGCGGCGCGAGAACGAGGATCGAGGTCGTTGTTTTTCGGGGGAGGTGCGTCCTCCTCGGGAGGGTTGAGTGCCGCAGCCGCCGCCGCCGCCGCTGCCGCTTCAAGGGGCGAGTGGCCGCGTTCGATCGCCGCCGGAGCGCAGCTTATTCGTCCCAATTCGGAAGTCCGTCCGGTGCCGGTCGTCCGGCCGCCACCTCATCCCGACGCGCTCGAATCGCCGTTGATATCGCGCGACGCGAACGGTCCTCGCATCCCCCGCCGAAGGAAGGGTTCCCCGGTGCCCCTGGTCGACGACGTCGCCAAATTGCACGTAATTGGGGCGAGTCCGAGCTGGCACGCACACACCCGCGGCCGCACACGAAATCACTGACGAGGCGATATTGCACCTGAACCGATTATGACGTACCGGGCGCGATGATTAATAGGCGAAAAGGTCGTGCGCGTTCGCAGCGTCATGATCTGTAACAGGTAACGAAAGCCAGTAATTATGGGCTGCCAATAATTTCGGGTTAATCCTGTCGTGCCCCCGATATGTTACGCGCGGACGGAGAGAGAACAATGAATCCCTTCGAACATTGTCTGGATATTAGGGGCGCGTTTATTGAAACTGAATATACGCGAATTTTCGGAGGTCGGAAGTTAAAAGGATTAATATCGATATATTTGAAACACATCGCGATCTCGCGATCTCTACGGCAGCCGATAGAAAACCAATAATTATAAAACTACTAATAATTCTGATGCGTTAATTCTCGTCAAGCTCCGAGATGTTACACGGTGAGTAATAATACTCATTTATCGGGAACAAATATTTTCTGGATATCGAGGATGTATTAAACCTCTTGTAAAATAAATTGTTACGGAAGCTACAAACAAGAATCAATATGGCATGCCGGTTTTTTTAAGTATCGTGACCTGCAAAAGCCGATAAAAGCCCATACTTACAAGTTGTGAATGATATATCGGATTAATCTTATCGCATCCCGGCGAGATATCACACAATGTGGATGGTATTAAATTTATTCATCCGGAATAAAATTTTGAATTTAATACCGATTTGGTCATCATCCGAATGTTCGAAATACGTTTATTAAATTCATTAGAAAAATTGGAAATACGCATTTGTATGAGGCTACAAGTAAAGATTGATTCGTAGTACGTGTAAATGTACATCATGCACCTGGCAACGGCTGGAAGCCCGCGTTTACGAGCCGCTATTACTTCTGGCTTAATCCTATCGAGTTTCTGTGCTCGTGGTGGACCGAGGATAAGTTAATTATCGCTCAGGCTCAAAGACATTTCATTAAAATATATCCAGAGCGAATCAAGCGCAGTCTGCGTGCGTTATCTGCTGCGTGTTAAATACATCAGCTGTGAGCTGTGACTTGCGACAATTATAAAGAACTGATTTGTGCGCATTCGGATCTGATACAATAACTCACGGTTACACCCACGAGGGGCAATTAATTTTACATAACTATTACGATCGAGCTCTCTGAACAACGTGGAACAACGTGCTGATCATTATCCATTATGGAGATGTCATTAAAAAATATTTCATAGTTTAAAAACGAGTTTTTGATTACGACAGATTGTAAATTATGTTGTTAACATTTATTAACATGATAAAACGCCATCGTGTACTCATTTTTCGCGATGTAATTTATTTCGGTATTATATATGCTTCAAAAATGCTTCAAAAATGGAAAAATTTATTAAAAAGAAAAAAGATTTGCAGGCATTATATAATATCGTGCATATAAACTATTCGTTAAGGATGTCAGAATGACGTTTGACGTATTCGCTTTTACTCGACGGATTTATAAGATGCATAAGTTATTCATATTTAATGAGTGATATGCGCGAAGCGAGACGGGCTGCCGAGGCTGGCTAAAGAGGAAAAACAAAAGATCGAAAATTTTTGCAAATAAAAACGATTATGAGAATCGTGGCTCGCGATAACGAGTAAAGTTTTTCGATTATACCGAACGGTCTGCACTTATCAGAATCTCGCAATAATAGCCAACCTTTTTGTGCTTTTCATCATGAAATATGCATATATATATATATATATATATACATATATCGCAATTGAATTGCGTCGCGCAGCTGCCGTATCGTGAATAAACGTGTAATACATCCCTTTTCTTTCGCCATCTACGGAAACCGCAGAATCGGATCGATCCTCGCACACTCGGGTATCTCGCGACGCGGTCTCCATCTTCCATCCGTATAAATTCTCTCTCTCCTGATTCAAATGGTTCTACCGTTATTAAACTTCAGAAATAAATGCAAGGCATATAATGGTGGTGGTGTGTATTCATGAGAATAGGGTGCGAGAGAACGTGCCTGTATCTTGCGATTTATACGCCGTAGGAAAACTTCTTTAAAAAGAGAGACCCCCTTTACTGATTGTGAGATTACGCAAAAGAGAGACTGATGCGTAGATAATCCGTCTCTTAAAATAAATTGTACTAAAACGTTGCTGCGCGTGTTCCACTTGATCCACCTCTTTATCCGGCAGTTAATTAACTCTCCAGCTCCAGAGGATCAGACGATGTATTTAATCTTCTCGTCCGATTTTTTAATCGATAAGAAATCAATTTAATTATTTTGAAATTTTTTATTCAAGTCACGCGCACAGTGGAAAAAGAATTTGACGTTTATATTTCTTCTGTTAAATAAGATGCACTTCTCATCAAAATTAAAGGATCATTTTGAATCGCGAAAATGGAGTGTCGCTCGAAGTAGAAGCGTCATCGAGAAAAAACTTGGTGGAATTTAAAAGCCGAGGCTCCAGGGTTTAAAACGTTTCTCTGAACTTCACTTTATGACAGTTTTTTTTCGCAAAGTTACGTAAATTTGTGCTTTATCATTTTTTCCACCGTGACTTCCAAGCGACCCTTTTTAATTTTATTGAAAAAGTGTATCGCGTACATTTCCTGCCACATTGCAGATTTTTAATCACGCCATTCTATATTTAAGGATGGACAGTTACATTAATTATGTTGAAAACAAAATCTCATTTTTTATCTCAGGAAATTTATAGCGTCATATATGTTTCGTGCATATAAAGCTTACATTAAATCGAGATTCGTATTGATGTTTGTATTCACTCAGTCGCGATTATACTACATAAACTGAATTTTACGGCAGGCAGTAAATGTAACAAATGTAATTCGTAAGTATAATAAAGTTTACTTGAGGGTAAACAAACAAGTATCTCCCTTTTGTATATATACGAGCAAATCCCAATAATAATAATCAAAATTATAGTGGCACACGAGCGTACACGAGGGTATCGATCGAGATAATGAAAATTAGTCAATCATCGTGTGTTTGCGGTGGATAATCTCTCAATTACGCGGTACACAAGGCGATGCGCAAAATCCCGGCGGGGTTTCCTGCCCAATTTCCTTTAGCCGCTTATCCGCCGTCGGTGGTCGTAACTTGTTAGTGGCCGGGCTAAAGCTGGCCACACACACTTTTTCGTAACAGTAACAGTAGGATTTCGACCAATCGTGTTACTCGATTTGGGAACGTACGGCCGTACGTTTTCGAATCGAGCAACGCGATTGGTCGAAATCCTACTGTTACTGTTACGAAAAAGTGTGTGTCCGGGGCCTAAATGTGCGAAAAGATTGTGCGCGGCCCGCAGCATAAAATCGGCCGGCGCAAATAAAAGGAGGTCTGTTTATCTCGCGCGACGTTTCTTGCGCGACGACGCGCCGACGTCGCGTATATATCCGCTGCCATTTGTACCCGTCTGCGCCGACTTGAAAATATCGTTTATTGCCCACACACGAGACTCCCCGCCATATTCTACGTGCGTCGCGACGGTGTAATCGTTTAACGAACGTGCTCAAGAAATTCATGTCGTTCAACGGAAGCTGAATGCTAAGGGCTAACAGCCACCGCAAACACAAGGCTTATACACACATAGGTTCGTGCCTAGGACATGCCTTTGACCAACTGCGTTCATTAGATTCTCTTATTATAATTAGAAAATAGAAAACAGTAATAGTAATAGTAACAGAGATATTGCATTTACCGAGACAATTATAATAACGATCCATATTTTTCTTTTATCCTAATGCAGCTTTTCGCTTAATTAGCGCCTGTGTAATCAATTTCCTGTAAATGTATGTACATTCTCGCCATCGTGTTCAATCGTCTAATAACTAAATTCATTTAGTTGACGGAATATCAGAGCGTGATGTTACGTTTACAATTTGTAAAACACACTCCGCGCGATTGTTTACGTGTAGAAAGGAGTCTTTTACGTACTTGCGAGTTAAAATAGAAATCAATATTTAGCCCGAGGCACCTTACATATGACGCTACGAACTTCGGTAGCAATTCCGTAGCAATTTTCCTCTCGTACCCCCTGTGTCCGAGCCCAATGTTGTCCGCGTTCTTCTCCAATGTCCCCCCCCATCCCGCCCCACATTGTCGGCGGGAAACTTTATGCATCGCTGAGAAAAGTGTATCGATCCCTCGACGCCGAAACGGCGAATTTAGCGGGGACCTTGTTAAGGGACAAAACGGAAGCCAATGTCCTGGAAGAAGGCTTCGCGGAGGCCACAAAATCTCTCCCCTATAGCGTAATCCTCTCTTAATTGCCGTCTATATACCCCGCCATCCTCTCGAGATCTCGCCCGACTAAACAGCTATCTCGTCTGCGACTTTCGAGATCAACGATTTACGCGTCACAAGGCGCGATGTCACAGAGCGCGTCTTAATATACAATTCCAATGTAACGATGTGAAAATGTCAAATGGCACAGGTGGGTTTCGCGTGGGTGATAGCGCGTGAGTTCGCCAGACGTTGTTATGGAAGTCGGAAACGTCTTAGCACGTTCATTGGTGTTCGATACTCCGTAAGACGCTTTTCCTCAGAGAGCAGCTTTACTCCAAGAAGATATAATTAAATACCGGATGTCAGATAGAGTATACACAAAAACAGCTCGGAAGGGAGCGGCTTCTCGAAATTACATTCTATTCGTCAAGAGAATGTTTCTTGAATTTGTATTTTATAAATATTCCCGCGAGAGATTGTTTTTATGTTTTTCACGCGTATGATTGAGATTTTCCAGCGAGAAGGAGCAATGTATTCGAACGTATGCTGTTCAAATGTAATAGCGAATAATAATTTAGATGTATTTTCCGTGTGCATATGTACATGTGAATGCACAGGGAATTTCGTAAAAGCATATAAACAATGATATCAAAAATCCACAAGGGTAGCTGTTAAGGTCGTTGTTCTCGAGATATTAAATTTCCAAAATGTAACACACGGTGCACACAGAACAGCTGGCACAATGGGGCACTCTAAAATCACCGACAGCACCGCGTACCGGTGTCTGGATGATTATTGATTTCGTTGCGTTATTGTGACCAGTTATTCAACCAGTAAGCGAGTCAATCATTTTACATAACGTATAACTGGCTGCAGAGCGC